TTAAAAGTGTGTCTTCCAAACTAACAGCAAAACAAAACCAAAAAACCTGAACTGGTCCTCAAAGAAGTTGGAAAGCTGAAACCAATGTATATTGTAATTTTTACTATATGGCATTCTCAAACTGTATGGAAATCAGATAACTGATTTTTAATTTTCTTTTGTTCTTAATAATCAGCTACTGCAAGAAAAATATATTGTATTCTTTCCAATCATTGGGTTAATTAGTACTTAATGACTGCAACATTCTTTGGTTTTATTTTTTTGTCATTATAATTTGTTGTGAGTTGCCTCCACGAGAAGTTAATCATAACTCAGTAGTTTTAAATTGATGGGTTAACAAGCCACACTGATTTCAGTGAGACTAAACTGGATTGATTTCTTCAGAGTTCACCCTTTTGCCTTCCTGTATCTAATGGGGGCACTTTTCTCACATCTGGAAAACAGACCTATTGTTTCACATCAAGGAAGAACCTGTGAGATGTGGATCTATAATTTAAAGCACTGCTGATTAGGTTGACTGGGATAGTTGGCAGTTCTCATTGGACAACATCTTGGAGGGCTATAGGTTCCAGCCTTTTGCAAATTGGCACTTTCTAGATGTGTGAACATTTGCTCCCAGAATTCTCAGCAGTGGCTATACTGGCTAGGGAATTCTGGGAGTTAAAAGTCCATAAATGGCCAGATTTGGGAAGGATGGTCTGCAACATTCAAAGCTGAATAGTGTTGCTTTCTATTCAGAAGTTGACGGCAGAAATCCAGGGTCCTTTTTAGCTGTGGGTAGCAGCAGCACTGGCTGACCACATTTTTAAGTCAATAAAGTACTTACTCATTAGAACTAAAAGTAAAATGATTGTATAGTAATGCCTCAAGTGTTAAAAGTTCCAGGATGTTTCTATACTTAATTTCACCAAATGTAATGGTACACTGTATTTTTCCATGGAGCGTCAAAGAGATTACCAACAATCTCTAATGCCTCTGAACTCCAACTATGTAGGAAACTTGGAGGAATGAGTATCAAATATCTATCTCATACACAAAAATTAGACCAAGGATTAGTAAGTGTTTATGGACAATCATAAAAACAACTTTACAAGTTGAATTGGAAATTGAAAACAGAGGAAGTTAACTTTTGTATATTATATTAAATAACCCAAACACCTTTCCTTTTTCCAAAAATTGATAAAGAATAAATAATATAATTTACAATATGGTACAAAAAATAATCAGTTAAGGACAGGCATTCTTGCTTTATACATACACTATATATGCATATTATCTGAAAAACAAATTCACATTTCAAAACAAGACAGAAAACTTTAGATGATATGGCTTAACTATTATTAAAAGAAACAGCAACATAGTTTGCTGCCAAATCCACAAGCTCTAAAGCCAGTTATCACATTTTGGCAACTAATGATAACTCATTGCTGTAGTGCTTGCAAACATTTTCATCATTTAGCATTTACAGATCACGAGAAAAGTTTTTAAAAGGGCTTGGTAACTCAAAAAAAGTGCCGTATTCTCCTTACAAATTCATCTGACTTCTCTGTGTAGGCATACATGTATGAGTGTATGTGTGTGTATTTAAAAAAACCCAAACCCCAAATGCAATGCTTAAAAACCCACAACTGGTCAAGTCAAAGACAAGCCATCTTGGTGGGTATCATTGAAATCAAGTTGTCTAAGCTGGCTAGGAAAGCATGAAGTTAACAATCAGAGAGGTTACATAATGCCAGTTTAGAACAACCCTGTGTAAAGAAAAAAAGTGTGTGTATAATTAGGACACAGTTCACAGGGAATTTTATTTCAGTGAACGTTGTGTAGATGAAGCTCCTAATGAACTGTATCCCAGCTGATAAAAACTAAAAGTCAACGATTGAATTGATTGGCCAGTTTAAATGCAACGCACAAGCGAGACCGTCAACTCCTGTCCAATATAGGCACTCCAAAATTGGCAGATACAACGCCTAACCCACATTCTTAAAACTTTACATCAGGTTAGGAGCCAATGATTCTGATTCCTAGTGCCCTATCTTGTAGGCCTATGAGAAAAGCTTATATCCACTGCATACATTCTCATTATCAATCCATCATGCGATAGCAAAAGGAACACGGAGGCCAAAAGCTTTTCAGGAACCAAGTACACAGATGAAAACCAGGCAATCACAAGAGCTTTCTTTCAACGCCTCAAGCAAAAATAAAGGTAAGACCATTCGACTGAGAAGCAGCCATGCCTGCAAATTTCCTAGAAGGCGCACGGATGTTCTTGACAACAAATTCAACATTCTTATTGATCCAACAGGATTATTCTTATCAGCTCAAAACTGTCTCCTGCACTTATCGAGTCAGTGTCTCTCTTGACGGCAGTCATGCTGCATCTCAAATGTATAAATGCTGATGTTGTTCAAGGCCAGCAGGTTCCCGAGTACTGAAGATTTGTGCTCTGTAAATAAGCGTTGCAGCAAAATCAGTGGAGTCGAGATCACTGGAGATTTCCTTTCCTTTAGTTCCAAAAGCAGAGTTGTCACTGCTCTTTCCTTAGATGTAGAAGACATGACATAAAGGGCCACAAAAGGATTTTCGTCTTTGTGGACACTTTTGCTTAAACGCAAACAAACAGGAAAGGAGACAATCAGGGTTTGGAAGCAAGTTCAGACTCGTGCAGAGAATTTCAGACGTACTAAAGCTGATGCTGCTTTAAAACTGCTATGTATTAGGACGGGCTGCTTTGAATGTTTGCTTACTTCCTGGATGCTTCAGGCAACGAAACGATATTAAAAATCTGCTGACCTGACGTCTAGCTATAATAGCTCTTATGACATCCTATGTTTTCATGGATGGAGAAAGCTGCTGGCAGAAGGGAAACTGATCGCCATGCAAAGGACAGGTACGCGAGTAGGACTTTTTGATTCTACTGCAAGGTAGGTGAATAATCCAGACACACTGAGAACAAGGGGCTCCATAAACTTACTGAGTTTAAAAAAAAAAATTCCGTGTGAATTAGGCCGATAATTAAGAGGAAAGAACTCCTAAGGAAAGATCCACATACAGGCCTTTAACCACAGAGCACGCTGCATGATGATCGCTGGAAGATCCAGCGTGCGTTGCCTTATTTGAACAAAACGTGCTGAATAAAAAGTTTTCCATGGGACACAGAACTGCAAAGAGCTGAAGGGTATTGATAAGGCAGGAGGTTGTATCTGACAGACTCAGAGACTCTGCTTGGGGGCAATAAGAGGGCTCCAGTGGTGTGGTATCTAGGCTATGATGCTGCTGAAACCCCTCCTAAATCACAGATGCTGTCTGGAGGCGTCTGGCATCTTGATACGCTCACATCCAGTATTCCATCTTGATGATAAAAGAAACTACAGGGCTGCCAGAACTGTCTGGACCACTATTATGTCCCCCGATCTCTCAATTGTGAAGGACGTTTTGGCCAAAATAAGAGAGTACGTTCTGCTAACAATTATGACAGAATACTTGAATGGGCTATTATTTTTGAAGGAGCAGTGATATCAGAGGATTATGTTATAACAATTAGCCCAAGAGGTATACATGATCTCAGCGTTTTTTCATTCAGCTTATCCAGAATCTGGAGAGCATCTTAGTTTAATGAATGGCGGGCAGACTCAGCCACAAATATGATTTGCACTGCAGCTAAGAGAGGCCCTCCAGTTCTGCAACAAGGCAGAGGGCAGAAGCCTGGAGAGGCACTAAGAGAGGGCTGAGGGCAAGTCCCAGGAACAGAGGTCCTTCTCCTGATCAGCACCATTTTTGGTCCCTTTGCCACAGGTTTGGGCAAAAGCCACCTCGCCCGTGGACAAGTTCCGAAGTCACACTGCCAGTCGAACATGGAAGATGACACTTCCACAGCACAGGCTTGCAAAGAATAGTGTTGCTCATGGGTAAATAGCATTTCATGAAGAACGATGTTTTGAAATGCTCGCTTGCAGGAGATGAACAACCAAGTGGACCGTTACGGATGGAATAAGCAGTACAGGAGAAGGATTAGATGGTTCTTGACGGTTGCAAAAATAAAGTAAGTGCTGGTTGCCTGCAATCCAGGCTGTGAAGGCTAAGAGGCAAACGTATACAGGCTTCAGGAAGAGCATTTTATAACTGTAGATGAAGATGAGAGACCCCAGTGTTCAGCTGCTATTCATGATGGGAACCTCCAGGAAGTGGACAATTTTACCCCCGTTTCTTTCATCTGCAGGACATGATCAAAGCGTTGCACCTCAACTGTAACAGGAAACTTGTGTAAGAGGATTTGTTCTCCAGAAGGCTGAAATCCAATAATCAAAGGGGGCTCTTAAAAAGGAAAGATAAGGTGCCTTCAAGTCAAGTGTGACTCCTGATGTTTAACGTGGCACAAACATGATTTTTCGGCAACAATATTGAAGTGAATTATTGTTATCTTCTTTGGGGATTGTTTTGACATCCCAGTCTAGTCTATGGGCCCGATTTTGCCAAGAGGTCTCTCATCCAAATACCACCAAGAAGTCTCTGAGCTGCAGAACAGACTGGGAAGTCAGAAACACATCCTCAAAGACCACTTCTGTACTGTTGCCAAGGAAACTACAAGGACATACCCATGACCATCACCAGTGATCATGTTCAACTCTAAGGAACTTGACTTTAAAAGGACAGTGGAAAATATCTAAAAGACTCTAGAACAGTGTTTCTCAACTTCAACAACTTTAAGAGGTGTGGACTTCAACTCCCAGAATTCCCCAGCCAGCATGCTGGCTGGGGA